CTGAGTTTGGGGTCCTAATTTCGAGTTCCACACGATCTGCCAAGCCAGTAAACTGAGCCCTCAAACCCGAAACCTTACGAGACCTGATCCCAGCAACTGCCGTAAGCCCCAACAGCCCGAAACCCCAGCCTTAGACGCCCTTGGCATCACACTTGCCAGCTCCTCAATGGAGCCTTATCTCCCGGTCCTAAGGTTGCACTACCCGAAGCCCTGCAGAAGCTTTATTGATACTCCCGTCTACTCCCTATATAGGTCATTATAGGTCCAAAAGTTCATGATAGTCTGATTGAAGCAAGCCATGAACGCTCAAGCTCCAAAGCCCAGAAGGCACACTGAGAGCCACGGAACAAGCACATACGGAGCTCCCATATATAATAATCCCAAGCGAACCCCGAAGCTAATTTCAGTAACCCCTATAGTAGTAGCTTGTAACCACTTTTCGCAACATCGAAGCCTCATCCCAGCGAATCTCCTGGGCCCGAAAAGTGCCTGCCAGCCCACGAGGATCCATACGAGAACCTTTATTTGGTGGTGACAGGGGAGACCCTTGGACTTAGAAGGGTTCCTTTAAGGGGCACCTTGGGGTTTCTAGAGTAGGGTGCAGTTGACGGGATACTATATGGCTCTAGAAGAGGATCCCCGAAAAGGGCTTGGGGTTCGGGGTTTAGAAGAATTGGATTTGTTCAAGCCCTATAGGTTAGGGGACGACGTGTTCATGGATGGCCTGGTTCATGACGAGTTCTTTCGGCTGGTTGTTTTATAAGTCTCGCCGACTTCCCCATTTGGTCTAGTTGCGTTGCTGAAGCACCGGCTCAGTACACGAGGAACAGCATTTCCGGATCGTTTTCATGTCGTGCTTCGACCTAGCACAAATTCTGCATAAAGCCCTTCTCCTGCTGCAGAAGTGCTCAACATGTCGCATGTCGTGGTTCGAGAGGGAGCCACGCTTGACGTGCAACCTGTTGCCAGGTTTTGTGGGGAGGTGAGGCTTTCATGGGCAGCGGTAGGAGCACCTAGGTGCTTTGGTTCCTACTTCAGGGTGGGACAGCAAAATCCGAGGAAGCTTTTCACTCTCATGCCACCGGCAAGTGCACCTTTCTTGTGCCTCGGTGCAGAGTTCCCACGAGAATATACAGGGCTCGGAATTTAGGTGTAGGCTTCATGCGGCCCAAAGATTGTTGGCTGGTCCAGCAGGTAGGGGCATGAGAAGGATTTGAGTGAGCCCGTGATGCGGACAAGTCGCAATTGCTTGGAGCTGCAAGTTCCGTGTGAGCGAGATTTGTGTTTAAAACTTCCCTTCCGCTGTTGTCTTTGTTTCTTAAGACGATCAATCCTAGTTACTATGTCCTAGTTAAAGGTCATATTGGTTTACAGCATGTGAAGGCAATGATTTAGGGAATAGGCGGGGAAAGTGGACAAAGCTTGGAACTGTGGGCCTTATGTGGTGACGACTGTCAGGGGACTGTGGCATGTGATTCCAACCCCCGTGAGAAGCCAGTGAAGTTGAACGCAGTTCAGACACTTCCGGAATGGAACCCCTGCGTTTAGACCCAGATTCTGCCAGCGCAGTCTGGCGTGGAGGCACGAGCAGCTCTGTTCCTCGGCATCCCTCGTGCGACAGCCGGACGGGATGCCCGGCCTGCAACGAGCTTTTACGATTTGATGGAGCACTGGGTAACCAGTGCCCAATCTACACATTACCGCTACTGGTAGTGTCACTGGCAGTTTCAGTTTACACCAGAGCCCGCGAGGAAGCTCCAGCCAGTCCTAGACGATGCTCCTCAAGTGCCCTGGACTCACGGACTGCAATCGGAGTTGGATTTTGTCGGCTGTGTTTGCGGTGCCAGTGTCCGAAAGACCGTATGTAGACTCTGAGCAGTCTTCAGGAGCTCAGGGTGTGTCCTGCCGGCTTTGTGGTTAATGGTATTTTAGGGTACCAAACTCGAACAAGCGCTTCACGTGAGATGGGTTGAACTTACTTTGCTGACTGCCCTCTCTCTCTCTCGCCCTCTCTCTCTCTCTCTCTGCCTCGGTTGGCTTCAATCCAGTGTGTAGCTGCTTCAATAAAACGACATGTTGCTTGGGTTAGACGGGGTATTCTAGGTCGTAAAATGCACGGTGGTCCCAAGTATCAGTGCGGCCATGTGTCGAAATGCCAGGATTCCCTTCGACGTTGCCGGTGAGGTGGATGCTGCCAGGCTTCTTGCCCTGGCAGTAAAGCTGAAACCACAAACCACACGGTTGATGACATAAATCCTGCATTACCCATCATAAGAAATATGCCATATTTCCCATAGTTTAGGGTCCTTAAGGTAATGCAGGTTTTCTATCATCCACAGTATTATCATATAAACTCTGGACTTCTCGCAGGGCTTCAGCTGCGGTCTTCGCTGAGAAACGTCTTTGAAGGGTTTAGGGTTAAGGGTTTAGGGTTTAGGGTTGGTTGTGTTTGCTCCCTTCGACTGCCACCAGAAGTTTGGTGAGGCAGCCGTCGGCATCGACCCGGAATCTCAGATTTGGGCCACCCTGTACCCTGCACACGGCTCCCTTGGCTCTCCGCGCAGCCCCGAATATGTCATGGCATCCAGCTTTGGATGCATCAAGGGTTCCAGAAGATTCCGATTTGGAGTTGCAGCTTAGAGGCATATGACGCACAGCCCAAGGATAGGCTGCCGAAGTCGGTCAGATCTTCGGGGGCCTACGAGATGGAGTGGGGTGGCAGGAAACTCTAGAACTCCGATCGAAGAGCGTTGTGTCTCAGCCTAGCCCTCCAAAGGTTTCTGGCAAAGCAGATGAAGAAACGACTGGGTCCGTAGAATGCTTGCGAGGTTTCCCTTGTACGCCCGCTTCCGGCAGCACTTGGCGGTGGAGGCAGCGCCGAACTTTGAAAGCCTATAGTTGCTCCCGAGCTAGGCACGACATATAGCAACTCGGACGTAGGTAAGCAAACGATGCATCTGCATATGTGTATTGGGAAGGGCGTATGCATACATGTATCTGTATGAATGGGTTTTCTGCCGCGCTTAGGTATACTCGTGTCAGTATACGCTCAACATGCGCGCACACCGATGCATAGATGCCTTTGGGCAATTGTTGTGGTTGTGGTCGACTGGTGTGAACATGATGGCCTCAACAACTCCTGAAGCCTAAGACCCTAAACTTTTAAACCGCTGGAGCCCAGTTTAGCAGATTCTTCTGTCTAGGGTCTTCTTGTTTCAGGCCCTGCTTCCAGTGAGTAAGTTGGTTTCACATTGTCAGCCGACCTAAGGCCACATGCCTCGCCTGGATTGTCCGAGTGTGAGCGTCGAAATCGCAGGAGCAGGAGCTAGCCCTAACCCCCCAGGTACCTACTATATAGGGTACTAGAGGTCCTAAGGCCCCATATAGTAGGTACCTGGAGGGTTAGGGTAGCACAACATCAATAAACCGTGAGCCCGCCGCCGCCCGAGAATCCAAAGCCTTTGAGGTGGCTGTGGGCCCTGGCGAGCTGTTGAAGCTCTGTCGGCAGTGTTGTTGGGGCTTCCTACCTAGGGTTGAAGGATCTGCAGGGGTTTTACAATGGTTTTACGTCCTTTACTACTGCTTGGCGACGATATTCGGTCACTTGATTTCTCAGTCTCGCGTTTTCCGCCCAAGCTGACTGTACACAGCGTGTTTAGGGATCCGAGCTTTCCCGGTGTTCAGGATGTTCAGGTTTGGAGTCAAAGTCTTGAGTTTGGGCATGGAGGTTTGGTACGTGCATACAGAGCATCATCGATTGCAGCATCTATCCCATGCTGTTTGACCTTCATCTTCCAGCACAGCCTAGGTATCCCGTTGCGTTCGGTGGAACCATCAGGTACACAGAGGTCATTCTAAACATTCTTACACTAGGTGTGATGTTGTCCTGTAGAGCACAAACTTTAAGCGCATTCGGTTTGCAACGTGTGTGGAAGGTCTATGGTGCCGAAGACTTTGCATAAATGGTAACCTGACAAGGAACATGCTACGCTGCCAAGCCCAGTACATGTCGACTTGGTTTGTTCCAGGTATTTGCCGGCCATGTGGTACCATCGTACCTTGGCGGCAACATGCAAAGCCGGGCCGGTTCCCCAAGCGATGTTCCAGAATAGTAGAGTAGTAGTACGTGTGACGGCCGAGGTGTGGCGCAACGCGGTATTACCATCGCTGTGAACTACTGGCATGATATGCAGATCGGCCATGGATATGTTCATCACCAGTTGATACGCGATATGTTCGGTCTCGATGTGGAGGCATCCGACTCTGAGGAGAGCTCTGACTGAAACTGACGGTAGATCCTATGGATCCTGAAGGTCCTACAGGTCGTGCCTGTGCAGTGATGGGCAGCTGGAAAGATGAGCAGCCCGGACTACTTGCAAAAAGTTGGTTGCGCCTTGCCTTCATGCTCGGCAGAGAGCATTCAGGAGCGCTTCTACTGCCGGCAGTTCGTGCAGTTGCATTGAGCCACGAACTGACCCTTCCTCCTGAGCACGCCATTGCGAGCGCGTGGTTTCTGCAAAACTCGTCTGGACAATGTGTTGACATCTTCTCGGATGACGTGAGTGCGAGGGTGCTTGTACAGTGGCCCTGTTGAGCTCGACCGGCCTGTCTGAGCGAAGGACATCGTGGCTTGCGACGACGGGCACCTCCACGCCATTCCGCGGGCATAGAAGATTGCAGAGCAACGAGCTTTATTCAAGTATCAGCTAGGCAGATCTGAAGGCCTCCGCAGATTGCGGGTCTCGACTGATTGGCAGTTTCTGTCGAACAAAAAGCCATGCACTGCTGCTCAGCTGGCCCCCATGCAAGCGGCAGAGGCTTGCATGGCCCTAGGTTGCGGTGCAGCGCAAGCGCAGACTAATATAGGGGCCCAAATAATCTCCAAACACTTACCCACATTATTTGGGGGCTTCCTTCTTTTTTATAGTATATAATTAATGTACCCCGAAGCCCTATTCTAAGTATGAAGGCCCTTACATTAGCGAGATGACGCTTGGCAGGTGATCTCGACCTATGCCGTCCGCGGCAAGGAGAAGAAAGGCCGGACTTGCCGGTTGTCCTGAGGACTTCGGATCGAATGTCGTCCTACTCCTAGCCGTCGCAAGGTTATACATTTAGAGACTTGCAGTTCTAGCCGACTTTAGCCAGGCTCCCACAAATCGGGCTTCAGCGGCCAAGAGTAGCAGGGTTATAGTTGATCTCCATGGCCTCTTCCAACTTTGTGTTTGTAGTAGGCTAGTGTCCCGTGGCCCTCAAAACATCGCGGCTGTTCCAAAGCGACCTGTAGTCTCCGTTGTAGTTCCTTTTTTTGGTTTAACCAAATTATATATTAAGGATTTTATAAGGTATCCCCCAAAAGGAACTACAATGGAGACTATAGGTAGACTCATTGTTCTATGGACTTGGGGCTGCTATATCCCCACGGTGATCCCCACAGAACCTGGACTTATCAAGGCACAGGCCGCTTCCAACTCTTCGAGGACGCACACGCGTGGGAGTAGCAGGTTTAGGTCTAGGTAATATAGGGGCCTAAAAAAAATGCCTATGCCATACTGGGGGTTCCTGATTATAGTTATACTATACTGGTCCCCAAAGCCCTATTCGAATTGTTAAGTCCCCTACATTAAACGGGTTGTGACTCCTACACTTCATAGGCTTGGCCTCGAATTCCAAGACACGGTGGCGAAAAATGGCTTTTGAAGACCCGAAGCCCTAAACCAGCGGCAGGGGGTTTCCATAGAGGCCCTAAATCCGCAACCTTGCAATGCTTCATGAAGCCGTTCAGGGGTGGCATAGGATACTTTTCGAGAGCCCCCTTTAAGGGCATCGTGCTGGCATGCGCATGCATTTGCTGCGCACCATCCCTAAACCCTACTTAAAGGATCATGGGACTTAGTAAGTAGGGTTATAATTATAAGGTAACTATACTTATATTTACTTATAACCCCAATTAAGGGACTTATAACCTTACTTACTAAGTCCCATGATCCTTTAAGTACTAATCTTGGGTCTTGCATTGATGTAAACGTCTCGCCTCTTGGGTT